AGGGTAAGCATAACTCACTTAAAATGGGGGTTAGCGAGGAATAGGGCTCTTCACGGGCAGAACTTCTGAGCTGAAAGCTCTTCTTCTCGGAGCCTTCTGGCGCTCTGGGACTCACTACTAACTCCTAAGAAGGGCTAGAGAAAAGCCTTGAGGCTTTGCGGGATTTGGGAGAGAATAGTTAGAAAGGTGTGAAGAAATGGTGTGTTTTGCGCCTCTATTTATAGGCTGGGAACTGACCAACACGGCGTGTTATGAACCCCAACACATCGTGTTGAGGTGCCAAGTGTCACCATCTGGTAGCAAGGTGTTGGGAAGAAGCAGTGGCTCAGATTGCACCACGTGTCACTCGCTGGTCACTCCAAAAAACTAATTATCTTCTAAAATTCGTAACTTTCTCATATGAGCTCCATTTTTGACGTTCTTTATATCTACACATAGGTATCGACGGGATCTACAACTTTCGTTTAGACTCCGTCAGCTAATTTTGAATTTATTTTTAAAGTTATATTTTAACAGACTTAGACAGTTAAAGTCCGTTAAAAATTCATAATTTTGTCATCCGACGTCAGTTTTTGGTTGTCTTTATATCGTTGAGCTCCAATTAACGAGATCTTCAATTATAGTTTGGTTGTGTCAGCTAAAAAGCGATTGATCTAAAATTCGATTTCTAGGCTGTATACTACTATGCAAAATCTTAAAAAAATCATAACTTCCTCCAACGAAGTCAGATTTGGACGTTCTTTTTATGTATGTTCTCGGTTTAGCGTATAATACGACTTTCATTTAGATCACTAAGGCTAAAAAGTATTTCGTCAAAAATTCACTTTTTTACGATACGTGGCGTTGTGCCGGTTTTGTCGCAAAACTTCGACGAGTCATAACTTCTTCGTTTTAAGTCAAATTTCAGCGTTCTTTATATGTACGGAATCCTTGTGACATATACTATACATTGGTTAAGATTGTTTATTCTAATTAATCTTTTATCAAAAATTTATTTTTAACGCTTATTATATTTAAATTGACTAGCCCGAATCTGCAGGCGTTACAGATTGGGCCCTTAAGGCAACCAAAGCATATGAGGTTGCCTCTACTATTGACTATAAACCCAAGCCACCAAACCTAATGGGTAGGGAAGCAATTCGCCACTTTATATCTCCAAATAAAGGGCAACCACAAACCACAATGTCCTCAATCGCCCAACACAAGCCATTGTCAAAGAACAACACCGCCTCCTCCATGTTAATGGGTTGGCATGTTCTCAGCCCAAAGAAAAGTTTAGAAATACCCATACAAGACCGAAGTAGAAGGAGCTCACTCCGCAGTTCAGACAATTGTTGGAGAAGGTGCATCAAATTCACAGCGTTTTCAGCTCTCTTTATGGCTAAGCTGCTAATGAAACTAGCATCTCTACTAACAGCTCCCCCGAGAAGTTTCACCCCCAATGACGGCCTCTCAATGCCAACCAGGAATAGCCCCCCACGCAGCTTCCTACCATCACACGAGGGCCCAAAGAGCTTTGTTTCTTGATATTCAACTGAAGGCCCAATTTTGGGCCAATAACCTTAATGATGTCTAACGCTTTGGCCACCTCCTCCGAATCTCCAATAAGTGTGCCATCATGAAGGTACCATGCATGGAGAAGAAGCTTGCAATTGTCTCTAATATTATACAAGAGCGGGTGCAACATAAGGGCAAAGAGAAGTGGTCCCAATAGGTGACCAAATATGTGTGTCTCCTAGATACAACCTTGCTGCTTGACCATATAGGAATTCTATCCACCAGGATATAGAAGAGTACCACAGTATGACATCATGAAGTAATGCGGATCTATCAACAAGGTTAAAGGCATTAGATAAGTCCACGGTAAGCATGGAAAGAGACTCGTCATTATAGCGCTCACTCAACACCCTATTGGCGCTATGTAATGTTGGATTAGGTGTCTAAGCCCATAACTATTTTTGGTATGTGTTTGATTTGATTATGAGCATGGTCCTTTTGGGTTGCGTTCACTCATGCAACTTGATAGGATGACAAGTGGAGATAGAGAAAGTAGGATTTATTATATGAATAATAAATTGGTACACATAATGGTTTTATTAATATATTACAAGATTAATATATTATTTGGAAATCATTTTATTAATTAGTAATTAATCAGAAATTAATATAGTATTAATTTTGGAATTAAAGGAACTGATTAATAATGGAGGGACCGATTATGTATATCAGTAATAACTATAGTTTGGGCTAATGGACATTATTAATATGGGGTGGACGAAAATCTATGGAAAGCCCATAGAATTTTCGTCCAACGGCCTGTCATATGGGGGTTCATGGATTGCTTAAGGCCTAAGCAAGGAAATTAGGGTTTCCATCTGAAAACCGTAATAGCCTCAACTATATAAACCCTCTAGCCTTAAGGATTTCGTCCCCATGATTAAGAAACCCTAGAATGGTCGAAATTCTCTTCTCTCCTACCTCATCCTTTGCATTGAGTGTTTGTGACTCCATTAGAGGTGCAACACTTAGGGCACTATGCTCAAAACCCATCACGTAATACGGCTTCAGCGCCACCCGACACCTCGACCCCGAACTGAAAATCATTGAGATACTTGTCCATTTCTTTACCAACACCTTTCATAGCCAGCATGGAGACCAAACGTCTCCATATAGTGCCTACTGCAATAGGTCTTATTCCATTTTCAGGTTTTAAGAGCAGTATAAGAAGAGCAGAGGCAACAAATTCTGCCAAACTCGAAGGGCATCTTCCCCCTAGCCATAGATTAATCACATATGTAATAGCACGTAGGAGGTCGTTGGCTATAGCTGAACCTTCTCCACAAAGAGCATATAAAATGTGTTGAGCTCTCAACCCACACATGAGGTTCATTTAGATAATGATTTAATGCCCCCAAGGAGATTGTCAATATCCACTACAAGGGAAGGTAGTGAACATATGGTACTTGGCATGGATGGTGGTGGCTTGTGTGGATACTTATACTCCAATGCCTTCGTGTTATCATCCCCATAAGGAGCAACCCCTGAGGAACATAATATATAATTTCACTACTACTGTGAAATGCCCATATGCAACCTTACGAATATATTGCCTGACGTTGGTGTCGCCCCGTGTTTTATCCTCATTAATGTACTCTTCTATTTTGCCTTGTTGCTCCAGCCTTGCATTGTCAACCAATTTTTTAACAAGCTTGGCTATACCGTCTTCCGTACCCCAAGTAGCTAAAGTGCTTAGGATATTACATTGTTGCAAGGACTTCGTGTTCCCAGACCTACTTTCTTGCCTATTCTTGGGCCTGAACACCTGTAGAGTACACCTAGGAAGAATTAACAATGTACCCCACGCTTCAACGGATCTGGGATGAGCAACTACCTTAGAAAGGGCTGCTTTCAAAGCTTGAGAGAAAGCTATACGACAGTTATGAGGGATGTTTTTAAATGTGGTGATAGGTAGCTTAAACACATGATCAAGGAGTTGAGCATCCAACACCAACCCCTCATTGAGGTCGACATCCGGTTCATTGGGTGGCGGCTTTTGAATACCAACAATATGTCCGCTCATATCATCAAACTCACCATTAAATTTAACAAGACCATCTGAGTGGCGACACGAGCGGCTTAGGGCGTGTAGGCTCATACAATCCCCACATATCCATTGACCAGACTCCTTCAATGTTGTTGCCACTAACATAAATAATCCATGGTCAAAAGAAATAGCCTCTCGCAACACAGCTCTACGCTCATCCGTAGTGAGATGCAAGCTCTTGATATGAGAAATCGTACAAGAAATTCCCTACTGCCTACTTCACCGTTCGGGCAACAATGAAACCCCCGAAAAGGACACGGCCGAGTTCCACTCGCATATGTATGAGAAACGCCATAAACACAAACAAATCTTATAAAGCCTCAAGGGGAGGCTCAGAATGAGAAGCAGAAAGCAAAAGTAAAATGTACCACTCCAACAAAAGGTTGGAGTGCACAATGAAAAACTACACTGGGAAGAGACTATACATCTTCTTGAGTCCTAAAATGGTTTCAACACTTGAAAAACACATGTAGACATTTTATCGAACACTTTGCGGGTAGAAAAAGAAGTGTTTGATTTGCACCAATGAAGCTTGAGAATTAAACCCATGAATGATCTTCAAGCTTGATGATTAGGTAGGAGGAATTTCGATTTCAAGAGAAGATGATTCTGATTTTTTTACTCAAAATGAAAGCAGTGAAGAAAGGACTCTGAAGTATTACAAAGTGAGTTTCTTTCTGGACTTAAAGACAACTTAGACGAACGTGTAGCATCAATTGAACTTAAAAACGAATCGAAGAACAAGAGTTATTTCTAGAATTTCTTTCCATGATGCAAAAATGGAAGCAAGAAGCTTCAAATTCTATGCGAAGTACTATTTCCATTCTAATTTCATTCAAAGAAGATCATTTAAAATGATTTAAATGGTTATTGATGTATCTTTTTTGGGTATTTTATAAGTGTTACCATGTTGGTGAAATACCGGTCATTGAAGTTGGAACATCTGGATCATCATCTAAATTGTAAAGAGGTTCCACACCTACCTTTCTATCTCTCTCTCTCTCTCTCTCTCTCTCTCATCGTCTCCCTCTTTCCAACCCAGATTTCTCCCATGTAGATTAAAACACACACACACACAAAGACTTCATGAGAGCACACACAATGAAAAATATCTCTTTAATTAGTCTCTCTATTTTTGGTTGTGCAAGCAAGACACATCCACATACGCGGAGCTTGTGAGATTGAAATCGCGATCCATCGAGACTCTTTTTAATCGATTCCAGATTTGGGATTCAATTGGTTCGATTCTGAATTTGGGTTAATCGAAAAGAATAAAGGGGGGAGGTTGGGGTGGGTTAGAATTTTTACGAGAAGAAGAAATATTGAAGGATGGTTGATGGAGTGTCTGGGTTTGTGAAGAAGAAGAATAAAGAAGAAAAGAGGGTTGTTGGAGGTTATGTCAAACTACACTCAAGTCCTTGTTTATGCCGCCAATAATGTTGGTTCCAATCAGCTGCAAAACATTCGTCATGGTCTTTGCGGAGATTCTATTATGTTGATAAGGAAGAATACCATAATGAAGTGTTCAATAAGGATGCATTCCGAGAAAACTAGAAACAAGGCTTACCTGAATCTAATCAATCTACTTGTTGAGAATGTCGGCCTAATCTTCACAAAGGAATACTTGAAGGAAGACAGTGAAGAAGTTTCCAAGTACAAGGTCGGAGCTCCTGCGCGTATTGGACTCATGGCTTCGGTGGATGTGGTTATTCCACCCGACAACACTGGTCTCGATCCATCTCCGACCTCTTTCTTCCAGGTTCTCAACATTATCACCAAGATTAACAAAGGTAAGTGGAAATCATCACCCCTGTTGAGCTCATCAAGAAGGGTGATTGAAAAGTTTGCTCTTGGTGTCTTCATGGTCACTTCTCTTGCTTTGGCTATCCACTATCCAACCATTGTAGATGCTCCACACATGTTCATCAATGGTTACAAGAATGATTTTGTCCATTGTTGTTGCAACAAATTAATCTTTCCCATTTAGTGATAAATTGAAAGAGTATCTTACATGTCCGAGAAATTTTGCTACTGGTGCTCCAACTGTTGTTGCCTCCTCTGTCGGTGGTGCTCTGACAGCTACTGTTGTTGCTCTAGTGGAAGAGAAAAAGGAAGTAACGGTAAATGAGAGTGAAGATGGCAAAGAACAAAGATAGTTTTGAGACTTGATTGGGAAATTAGAGTTGACTAGAAATTTTTTATACCAACTCAATTAGTGAGTAAACTTGAATATTTTTTTAATGGAAAATCTAATCTACTCCTAAACTATTACTTAATTCCATATATATCCATGACGAGACTTGAACCCTTGACCTCAAGAAGGGAGGGTAACACCTGATACCGTTGGGATAGAAAAACTAGAGTGTTAAATAAGAGATTTGTAATGTCCCATTTTCACATCCAACAATTTTCATTTTGTTAAGGTAAAACTTCCCAATTATAAATCCATTAAGAAAACCGTTTATTCTAACATACATTTATTGAAAATCAGAGGAATATTAGAACGTGGAATCTTCATTGCTGCTAATGAATGTGTACAGTCATGCCTTAACCTTCTCATGATAACCAATGATACCTAAAAAAATAAACAACCGGGTAAGCCCAAAGCTTAGTGAGTTCCCCCAAAATACCACTACACAAACATTTAATAACATGTGTACTGAGTCCACAGCTAATAGATTGGATTACCCCTGAGTCCTCAGCATGAGTCTGACTTGCCTACCGGACCACAACTCATGTATGGATTATTCTCGAGCCCACATCATAAGTCCGATTTGCCTCTTGGGCCCACAACTTATGTGTGGCTTGATCCCGAGCCCACAACATAAGTCTGGCTTGCCTTTCGGACTCGCAACTTATGTATGGCTTTCTCCCGGGTTTGATGGCTTCCACACAAAGCAGGACCGCCTCAACCCACTACCACCATATGCCGACATATAAATAATCAAGGATCAAGTAGGCATATAATACAGACAAAACATCAATCATACATCTCACTACCGCCTACTAGTCCTCTCACAACATATTGTCCTGCTACCAGCTAACCTCCATGAAGTGCGTAACCATAAATAACCAGATGTTAGATAGCCACCCGAACAGATGATCCTAATCTAGAGCCACAAACAAACAAGGAGCTGCCAAGAAAGCCTAAATCAAGATTTTGCAGGCTATCCTACATTACTACATACAACCACTAGGGCATTCCACTAGATGATTACAAATCCACTAGCACTCTAACCAGCATACCACTACTACCACATCCTATCATATAAGTGTTGGGTTTTGTATACTACAACATCCTATGGTGCACATACAACCCTAAAAGCTTTGGATCTATGTTTTTTCTAATTATACATGTAATATTGTTTCCAAAGTTTTAAGCCAACAACTAGCATACAAATGATATAAACTACATAAAATACTAGTTAGAAGTTTTACCTATTTGTATAGTTTGTAGAACTTGATGAATTTGGCCTTTAAAAGCTTAGCCCCAATAGTGTGGAAGCCTCAAATGAAGTCACAACACATCATGGACAAAGGTGGAACTTGAGAGACAATTCCATGCACCCAAAAACCACCCATGAACTCCAAGAACAAGCATGTAGGCGTTTTTTAGGTTAAGAGCATGTACTTATATATTGGATTTCAAGGGTCATGGGTATAACCCAAATCCATACCCATGGGTTTATGATCCATGGTTCATGTGGCCCAACTCTTTATGTATCCATACATAAACTTGGTCCAACATGGATCATAAGCCCAACACATATAAATATAACTAATTATCATAATTAGTCCCCATAGATTTAATTAGTCTCTTTTGATCACTAAATTAATTCCAAATTAATTCTTGATCAATACTAATTAAAACATATGATTTCATATTAATATATTATAACTTATAATATATTAATAAATCATATATCACCTTTCTCTCAAGAGTCCATCCTAACAAATTTTCCTGATGATATGCCACCCAAATGGACCATGCTACTCTCGGGTCGAGTACACACCAATAATAGTTATGGGCTTAGACATCTAATCCAACAATAAGGATATATATACAGATCTAGCAGATCACTACAGCACATCAACATCCTATATATACCAGGATATAGATCTAACAGATCATCATAACATAACAACATCCTATATATCAGGATACAGATCATCATAACATAACAACATCCTATATACCAGGATTATGGTTGTAGAACTCGTTACTCGGTACCTGTTCGGCCGACTACCAAGTAGCAAGTACTCGGGTAGTACTCAGATCCGGTAATTCATGTAGAAATATTTTTAGGGAAGTTATATATGTCAAAATTATAAGTTAAAACCATAATTTGATTGAAATATATAACAAAATTAGATACATATAATACACAAAAATTGATAACACACAACGATCTCACTTTCGTGAATAATTACTGAAAATTTAAGATATATATATATATATATATATATATATATATATATATATATATATATATATATATATATATATATATATATATGTGTGTGTGTGTGTGTGTGTAGTAATAATCACATGTGTGTGTTAAATTATAAATCATTAAGTATATTATACATATTAATCACCGAGTTGGTCGAGTTTTACAACACTGATCGCTTCAGTAAGGGGCCGATCGGGGAGTACTCGGATTCTGTAACTCGCCTCGGTAAGGGGCTGAGTAAGGAGTACTTGGCCGAGTAATCGGCCAACTCGGCGAGTTTTACAACACTGCCTAGGATACATATCTAATCGATCATCACAACATAACAACATCCTATATAGCAGGACGCATATCTAACAGGTCTTCACAACATAACAACATCTTCTATACCAGGATACAAATCTAACAGATCATCACAGCATAACAACATCCTATATACCAGGATACAAAAACTAGTGGGTCGGCATTGGTGCCTTCGTCCCACAAGTATAGTGAGGAAAACTCAGTTGAATTGAAGAACTCTGAAACACTGCGATATGCTCCCTTATGCAGTGCTTGATCCTGCAAATCCGCTAATCATAACAACTAGGTAAAACCTTAATCAACAGTCCAAAACCCTCAAGTTTGACCCAAAATTAAACTAGGTCAAAAGTCAACAGTCAACAGAAGTCAACAAAAGTCGAAGTCCAAGGCTGTTGAGTACGCCTAGTGTATGCGACCTGTCACCACTCCTCGATTAAGAACTTTATCCATTAAGGCCTTTTGTCTATAACTTAGATCTAGACTCAAAACATCATATTAAGTCATAAACTTTCCACCTTTATGACTTTCCATGGCTAGAAAAGATCCAAAAGCTAAAACCGTAACTTATTAATCCATTAAGATATCATAACTCTTTGATGGAAGGGACAGAAGTGTTGGATAAGGTGTCTAAGTCCATAACTATAATTGGTATTTACTTGACCCGAGAGTAGCATGGTCAATTTCGGTTGCATGTCACCAGAACATTTGTAAGGATGGACTTTTGAGAAGAGGTTATTTATGATTTATTAATATATTATAAGTCCTAATATATTAATATGAAATCATATTATTTAATTAGTATTGATCACGAATTAATTTGGAATTAATTTAGTGATCAAAAGAGACTAATTAAATGTAAGGGGTTGATTTGGTAAATCAATGATTCTTATAGTGTGGGCCTATGGTTATTTAGGTTTGGCTAAACCAACATGGTAGTCCATGGATAGTCAATGGAGGTTTAACCCATGGAGCCTAAGTAAGATGAAAGGTCATGCACATCAGGGTTTACATGGATGTAACCCTAATCCTTGCCACACTATATAAGAACCCCTTTAGCACATGAAATCGGCCACTAGTAATCTTTGGAAGAGCATAACCGAATTTTGAGTGCAAGTAATCCTTTCTCAAGTCCTCCATTGTTGGTGGTGGTGTGTGCAGCATTTGTGGTGTCACATTTTGGGGTGCTAGGCTCTTAAAGGTCCAAGGAATCAAGCTACAAGAAAAGGTATGTCATCTAACTAGTCCATGTTTTGCATGCTAGTTAGGTTAATGCTTTGGAAAATCAAATTGCATGTATAATTAGAGAAAACATAGATCCAAAGCATTTAGGGTTATATGTGCACCTTAAGGTTGTTAGGATGCTCAAAACCCATCAGTGGTATCAGAGACTAGGATATTTTTTCTATTATACTTGATGTTTATTGGTTTTCAAAGTTGAAAAAATTAAATTTCTGCATTCTGACTGGTGAACTCGCCTAGTCCACTGGGTGACTCGCCGAGTCCACTCAGAAATAGACCAACTCGACGAGTCCAGTTCATGTACTCGCCGAGTTGGTGCTCCTGTGTGCATATTTTCGAGTTTTGGCCAGAAATTGGATTAGGATCATTACCCCAAACTGTTTTTTGAACTATGAAATCAGTTTTTCATAAGGTAATGATCATGCTTCTCCAATTAAAAGATAATTGTCATAATTTCAAGACTTGTATTAGTATATATGATTAGGCTAATTTCTCTAAGATTGATGATATGAATTATCTTGTTCTTATGAGTTTAATTAGATCATGTATGTATTATTTTATTATTTTGTTAATTAAAATAATGATCTAAATGGTTTTAATGGACTCCATAACTTGTCCTCAAGTTATGGAAAACCAAAAGTCTTTTCTTTAAAAGTCATTAAACTCATAAGTTATGGAAATGAAAGGTTTTGAATAGTTTCAAAACTTGCCCTCAAGTTTTGGAATTTGTAAAGTCACACTTATGAATACTTAAATTCCAAACCTTAGAATTTTAAAAGTTTAAAATTCAACCCTTATACTATTATAATATTATAAGTTTAATAATTATATATATGTATAAGACAAGTCGGTCTTACCGTTAGTAGGCCTCATTCACGAAGCCGACCTATAAGGGGGGTATAAGGTTATTGCCTATAAAATGGCAGTTTAATGGTTTCCACTCTCACCCACCGCTTCCTTGACTGGTGGAGGGTCATTAGCCGAACGGGTAGGATAGGACACTAATTCTCATTAAAAGTATAATGATAATTATAAAGTAACTAAACTTTTATTAAATTCCCAATCTTAGTTACTTTAGAAAAAATGTGAATTTGATGCTAATCCATGAAGTTGCACTTTGCACCTTGCCAAGTCGTTAGTGGAGCGTGTGTGGTTAACTG